TGCAAATTTTTGAAAATTTCTAAAAATTGCGATATTTCAACGGTCGATTCTGGAAAAACGGTTGCACTCATCAAAGAAACGATGCCAGAAGTGAGTTCTAGGACTCGAAATCTATAAGAAAATGTATTTAGTTGAGGTTCGAAAATTTCAAAAATTGGCCGAAATTTGAAGATTGAAAAAATTTCACTTTTAAAAAAGTTGTCTAAAAATTGTGAAAAAATTCAGGGACGTAGATCTCGACATGCCGATTCCCAAAATGTAGTGTGTTGATGGTCACGGAGCAAAATTTTCGAAAGAATCGGTATGAAATGCGAATTTTTGAAAATTTTTAAGTTTCGATATTTCAGTGGTCGATTCTGGAAAAACGGTTGCACTCATTGAAGAAACGATGCCGGAAGTGAGTTCTAGGGTTCGAAATCTATAAGAAAATGTATTTAATAGAGTTTCGAAAATGTCAAAAATTGGCCGAAATTTGTAGAAGGGGGGACCATTGAAAAAATTTCACTTTTAAAGAAGTTGTCTAAAAATTGTGAAAAAATTCAGGCACGTAGATCTCGACATGCTGATTCCAAAAATATAGTGTGTTGATGGTCACGGAGCAAAATTTTCGAATGAATCGGTATGAAATGCGAATTTTTGAAAATTTCTAAAAATTTCGATATTTCAACGGTCGATTCTGGAAAAACGGTTGCACTCATTGAAGAAACGATGCCGGAAGTGAGTTCTAGGGTTCGAAATCTATAAGAAAATGTATTTAATAGAGTTTCGAAAATGTCAAAAATTGGCCGAAATTTGTAGAAGGGGGGACCATTGAAAAAATTTCACTTTTAAAAAAGTTGTCTAAAAATTGTGAAAATATTCAGGGACGTAGATCTCAACATGCTGATCCCAAAAATATAGTGTGTTGATGGTCACGGCGCAAAATTTTCGAATGAATCGGTACGAAATGCGAATTTTTGAAAATTTCTAAAAATTTCGATATTTCAACGGTCGATTCTTGAAAAACGGTTGCACTCATCAAAGAAACGATGCCAGAAGTGAGTTCTAGTACTCGAAATCTATAAGAAAATGTATTTAGTTGAGTTTGGAAAATGTCAAAAATTGGCCGAAATTTGAAGAAGGGGGGACCATTGAAAAAATTTCACTTTTAAAAAAGTTGTCTAAAAATTATGATAAAATTCAGGGACGTAGATCTCGACATGCTGATTCCAAAAATATAGTATGATGATGGTCACGGAGCAAAATTTTCGAAAGAATCGGTATGAAATGCGAATTTATGAAAATTTCTAAAAATTTCGATATTTCAACGGTCGATGCTGGAAAAACGGTTGCATTCATCAAATAAACGATGCCAGAAGTGAGTTCTAGGACTCGAAATCTATAAGAAAATGCATTTAGTTGAGTTTCGAAAATTTCAAAAATTGGCCGAAATTGAAAAAAATTCACTTTTAAAAAAGTTGTCTAAAAATTGTGAAAAAATTCAGGGACGTAAATCTCGACATGTTCATTCAAAAAATATAGTGTGTTGATGGTCACGGAGCAAAATTTTCGAAAGAATCGGTATGAAATGCAAATTTTTGAAAATTTCTAAAAATTTCGATATTTCAACGGTCGATTCTGGAAAAACGGTTGCACTCATCAAAGAAACGATGCCAGAACTGAGTTCTAGGACTCGAAATCTATAAGAAAATGTATTTAGTTGAGTTTCGAAATTGTCAAAAATTGGCCGAAATTTTAAGATTGAAAAAATTTCACTTGGTTGTCTAAAAAATTGTCAAAAAATTCAGGGACGTAGTTCTCGACCTGCTCATTCCAAAAATGTAGTGTGTAGATAGTCACGGAGCAAAATTTTTGAAAGAATTGGTTTGAAATGCGAATTTTTGAAAATTTTTAAAAATTTCGATATTTCAACGGTCGATTCTGGAAAAACAGTTGCACTCATCAAAGAAACGATGCCAGAAGTGAGTTCTAGGACTCGAAATCTATAAGAAAATGTATTTAGTTGAGTTTCGAAAATTTAAAAATTGGTCGAAATTTTAAATAATTTCACTTTTAAAAAAGTTGTCTAAAAATTGTAAAAAAATTCAGGGACGTAGAATCTCGACATGCTGATTCCAAAAATGTAGTGTGTAGATGGTCATGGAGCAAAATTTTCGAAAGAATCGGTATGAAAAGCGAATTTTTGAAAATTTCTAAAAATTTCGATATTTCAACAGTCGATTCTGGAAAAACGGCTGCACTCATCAAAGAAACGATGCCAGAAGTGAGTTCTAGGGCTCGAAATCTATAAGAAAATGTATTTAGTTGAATTTCGAAAATTTCAAAAATTGGCCGAAATTTGAACAAGTGGGGACCATTGAAAAAATTTCACTTTTAAAAAAGTTGTCTAAAAATTGTGAAAAAATTCAGGGACGTAGACCTCGACATGCTGATTCCAAAAATATAGTGTGTTGATGGTCACGGAGCAAAATTTTCGAAAGAATCGGTATGAAATGCGAATTTTTGAAAATTTCTAAAAATTTCGATATTTCAACGGTCGATTCTGGAAAAACGGTTGCACTCATCAAAGAAACGATGCCAGAAGTGAGTTCTAGGACTCGAAATCTATACGAAAATGTATTTAGTTGAGTTTCGAAAATGTCAAAAATTGGCCGAAATTTTAAGATTGAAAAAATTTCACTTTTAAAAAAGTTGTCTAAAAAATTGTGAAAAAATTCAGGGACGTAGATCTCGACATGCTGGTTCCAAAAATATAGTGTGTTGATGGTCACGGAGCAAAATTTTCGAAAGAATCATTATGAAATGCGAATTTTTGAAAATTTCTAAAAATTTCGTTATTTCAACCGTCGATTCTGGAAAAACGGTTGCATTCATCAAAGAAACGATGCCAGAAGTAAGTTCTAGGACTCGAAATCAATAAGAAAATGTATTTAGTTGAGTTACGAAAATGTCAAAAATTGGCCGAAATTTGAAGAAGGGGGCCCATTGAAAAAATTTCACTTTTAAAAAAGTTGTCTAAAAATGGTAAAAAATTTAGGGGCGTAGACCTCGACATGCTCATTCCAAAAATACAGCGTATTGATTGTAACGGAGCAATATTTTAGGAAAATTCGGTATGATATTCGAATTTTTCGAAATTTTTAAAAATTGCGATATTTCAACGGTCGATTCTGGAAAAACGATTGCACTCATCAAAGAAACGATGCCAGAAGTGAGTTCTAGGACTCGAAATCTATATTTAGTTCAGTTTCGAAAATGTCAAAAATTGGCTGAAATTTGAAGAAGGCGGGACCATTAAAAAAATTTCACTTTTAAAAAAGTTGTCTAAAAATTGTGAAAAAATTCAGAGGCGCAGATCTCGAGATGATGATTCCAAAAATATAGCGTATTGATGGTCAAGGCGCAAAATTTTCGAAAGAATCAGTATGAAATGCGAATTTTTGAAAATTTCTAAAAGTTTCGATATTTCAGTGGTCGATTTTGGAAAAACGTTGCACTCAACAAAGAAACGATGCTAGAAGTGAGTTCTAGGACTCGAAATCTATAAGAAAATGTATTTAGTTGAGTTTTGAAAATGTCAAAAATTGGCCGAAATTTGAAGAAAGTGAAAAAATTTCACTTTTAAAAAAGTTGTCTATAAATTGTGAAAAAATTCAGGGACGTAGATCTCGACATGCTGATTCCAAAAATATAGTGTGTTGATGGTCACGGAGCAAAATTTTCGAAAGAATCGGTATGAAACGCGAATTTTTGAAAATTTCTAAAAATTTCGATATTTCAACGGTCGATTCTGGAAAAACGGTTGTACTCATCAAAGAGACAATGCCAGAAGTGAGTTCTAGGATTCGAAATGTATAGGAAAATGTATTTAGTTGAGTTTCGAAAATATCAAAAATTGGCCATTGAAAAAATTTCACTTTTAAAAAAGTTGTCTAAAAATTGTGAAAAAATTCAGAGGCGCAGATCTCGAGATGATGATTCCAAAAATATAGCGTATTGATGGTCAAGGCGCAAAATTTTCGAAAGAATCAGTATGAAATGCGAATTTTTGAAAATTTCTAAAAGTTTCGATATTTCAGTGGTCGATTTTGGAAAAACGTTGCACTCAACAAAGAAACGATGCTAGAAGTGAGTTCTAGGACTCGAAATCTATAAGAAAATGTATTTAGTTGAGTTTTGAAAATGTCAAAAATTGGCCGAAATTTGAAGAAAGTGAAAAAATTTCACTTTTAAAAAAGTTGTCTATAAATTGTGAAAAAATTCAGAGGCGCAGATCTCGACATGCTGATTCCAAAAATATAGTGTGTTGATGGTCACGGAGCAAAATTTTCGAAAGAATCGGTATGAAACGCGAATTTTTGAAAATTTCTAAAAATTTCGATATTTCAACGGTCGATTCTGGAAAAACGGTTGTACTCATCAAAGAGACAATGCCAGAAGTGAGTTCTAGGATTCGAAATGTATAGGAAAATGTATTTAGTTGAGTTTCGAAAATATCAAAAATTGGCCATTGAAAAAATTTCACTTTTAAAAAAGTTGTCTAAAAATTGTGGAAAAAATTAGGGGCGTAGATCTCGACATGCTGATTCCAAGAATATAGCGTGTTGATGGTAACGGAGCAATATTTTCGAAGGAATCGGTATGAAATTCGAATTTTTCGAAATTTTTATAAATTGCGATGTTTCATTGGACAATTCTGGAAAAACAGTTTAAGTTATCAAAATCACAGAGGATTGGTAGATATTGGGCCGATAATGTTTTATATGGGACACCTGTATATAATTGTGTAATTCTACGTCACTCATTTTTTGGAGGGAATGAACTAATCATTGAACAGCCAGTAATCATAAACCATCAATATGATGCCTTAATTCAAAAATCAATAAGGCCATTCTGCAAATTACGCCAGTTGTGTAAGAGTTCTTGTAAAAGAATAGTAAGTTTTAAATGACTCAGTTTCCACTACCATGACCAGAACGTTTTAGAATGACGGTATTTCCCGCATTTTTTCCACGATCCTTACTATACGGAAGCTTATTAGTATGCATTCATTGCTCAGTGTTCCTAATTTAGTGTTGGTAAAGTGTAACAAAACCTTAAGTGACAAAGTAACTTAAAATTAAAAACCAATTTCCAAAGCAAAAACCTGTGAAATAATGATTTGTCGTTACCGTTCTGATTTTTCGAGTGCCTCTTGAACCCACTGGTGCAGATTCTCAACCCGTCCGGAATAATCCAATTCATCACGCAACAGGCCGGAAAACGCGATTTTTTGACCCGCAATGGACTGAAAAACCGTGGTTACAGTTAAGAATGATGATCATGCTGCTGCAACTGTGCTCATATATAGGTCTCTTTACCATAATATTGTATTTGCAATAATACCTCGCTACGCTTAATGACTGTATTACAATCCCAACGGTTACTTAGCCATTTATCGGCGATTTGTCAGAGAGATAACACGTATTACTCAACTTGAAAATTCACCATTATGTTTATTAGTGTCACAACAGCAGCATCGTGGCGCAGTGCGAGATGTTGAAGTGGGTGCAAAGGCAGAACTTCAAGTGTCCAGCCGAAGATGACTTCGTCATAATACCGGTAATGTAACGTCAAAAATACACGTTGCCCTAAGAAAAACGTGACTAGAAACGCACTTCGCATTCGAGGAATTCCCGTAAAATTGATTGGAAAACGTGAATAATTTATCGAGTCTGTCGTAAAAGTCTGTAGAGGTACTGGGATGAATTATGTGCTGGTGGATTATGGTTGTTGCTGCAAATAGTGCATTATGTTGGGTAATGAGTCATTTTATTTATGGCTTCGGGTACCGATTACACTGTTTACCTTACTGATGAAAATCAGCGATCGCTAAAATATTTTTGTAATTTTTACAAAATTCGCCGAGGAACGTCACGCGAACGTGATTCAGTGGCCGGTGTTTATCGGAAAGGTGAATCAACTCGGTTTTGCATATGCACATGACGCCGATAAAGGAAGTGATAGTGTGCTTTTAAACTTAAACTGTGTTGATAAAATATTGCGGTAAAATATTATGTTAAGCTACTGATATTGTTGTTTATGGTTGCTTTGTTTATGTTAGGCACGCCATGTTTGTTTTTGTATCTTGTATATACTTGACAAGACTTGTATACGGTTAAGAAACACTCGTGTCTTCATAGTAAACAAAACCTGGCGCCAATTTGCAACAACGTTTTGGTAAAAAACTTCTCTGTGTGTTTGTATTTTGGAATTTTAAATACTTGGTAATTTGCAAGTTCGAGTTCCGGTAACCTTGAAAGTCGTAAGTCATTCATGTCTTAACGCAAATTTGAATAAATTACTGTTACTGGATTTTCATTCAGTTCCGGCGCTTTTTCCTTTATTTTATTTTTCCTTTCTCTTGTCATTCCATTGTTACACTTGTTGTTTGGTTTTATGATTTTTGGCCTGTGGCTACTATTGATTGCATATATGGGTTAAACGTGCGGAATGCTGAAATAATTTAGCAATTGCCCGAGGACTAACCTGCACGTGGAGTGTGACGATAAATACAATTGTGTTGTGAAAAAATCAAGGTACTTCCCGATGAAGTAGGTACACCACAAAATACGCAAATTCAATAAGACCAACCTGTGAATGAAAGTACGCATATGAAAAAATTATAGACTCTATTTTTCATGTCTTTGACGTCTAAAATTTACTACTGGTCAGTTTTTTACAAATTTTTCTAAATATCATTGTATTTTTGACATTCGGCGAATTACCGCACCTCTTTTTAACTTAGCACCTTTTTTTATTTTTAAATATAACTGAGATTTTTTTTAAATTTTTGGAATTTTGTACTGGTTGGTACGAGAGAGGTCAACTTCTTGGAAGTTAAAATGTGTCAAACTTAAGATAATCCTTAAAATAAATAAAAAAAAAAAACGAAAAACAGTTTTCATTCTTTTGATCTTTATTATATTTGTTATTTGACAGTGACATTTGTAATTACTATCAATCTTGAAAACATAAATTACACTAGTTTTACGATGAAACCCAACTAAGCTCAGTTTGGGAGCTTTAAAGCTGGGTCACGAAGGTGAAGTAAAAAAATAACAAAATAAAATTGTGTGATTTTAAAATTTTTCTAAATTTGATGTTTTTTCCACATTCGACACCACTAAGAAGTTAAGAGCGTTGGGCCAAAAAATCAACAAGAGTTGCAACAAATAGACACCGGATGACCGTTAATAACTGAAGCAAATTTGTATGTTGGCAACACTGAATTATTGGCAGCAATGTTATCAGCCGGTATTTATTGTTAACTTCTTTTTTTCAATTCAATCATTTGATTTTTCGACTTTTCGATTTTAGTTTTTCAAGGTTTCGATTTTTCGATTTTTCAAATTCTGGATTTTCCGTATTGGCGATTTTTCGACACCTCGCTTTTTCCACTTTTAAAATTTTTCGATTTTCCGATTTAGCAATTTTTCACTGTTTTGATTTCTTAATTTTTCCATGTTTCAGTTTAGGATGTATCATTGTGATTTTTCGATTTATCAATTTTTCGGTAATTCAATTTTGGAATTTTTCAATATTTCGATTTTTCAATTGTTCTTCAATTTTTCGACACTTTAAATTTTAGATTTTTCGATTTCTCGAGTTTTCAGTTTTCCAATTTTTCGAATTTTTAATTTTCGGGTTTTTTCAGTTGATGTTTCGATTTCTTGGTCTTTCGATTTTTCAACTTGTGGGTTTTAGATTTTTGAGTTTTTCTCAACAAATCGATTCTTTCCAATTTTTCAATTTTGCGGTGTTTTGATGTTTCGATTTATCGATTTTTCGATTTTTCAATTTTTAGAATTTTAGTTTTTTGGATTTTCTCGTTTTTCCAGGCCTTGATTTTTCGATTTTTCAATTATTGGCAGCAATGTTAACATGTCAGTTCACAGTTGTCAACTTTGGCAGGGTAATGAAAGGATGTAAATTTAATTTTGACAATCAGGTATACCAACATACAATTTTAGATGTTGCCAACCTGACAAAAAATTATCAAGTTCTTTTTTTAAATTTTCAATTTTTAGATTTATCGATGTTTTAAATTATAAATTTTTCTTTTTTTTTAATTTCTTATTTTTCGATTTCTCGATCTTTTCACATTTCGAATCCTCTGTTTCAATTTTTCAATTATATATTTGATTTTTCAATTTTTCGACTTTTCGATTTTAGACTTTGGGATTTTCAGAGTTTTTCAAGGTTTTGATTTTTTAAATTCTAGGTTTTCCAAATTTAGCAGTTTTCACCACCTCGGTTTTTCTACTTTTAAAATGTTTTGACTTTCCGATTTCGCGATTTTTCAATTTCTTGATTTCTCAATTTTTCAATTTTTCTAATTTTTTAATTTTTGTTTTTTTTTAATTGATGTTTCGATTTCTTGATCTTTCGATTTTTCAACTTATCAGTTTTAGATTTTTCAGTTTTTCTCAATATTTCGACTTTTAAAACTTTTGATTCTTTGATTTTTCAATTTTTCGATTTATGGATATTTTTGAATATTTTTTTTTATTTTTAATTTTTCGTTTGGGATTTTCGATGTTTCGATTTTTCAATTTTTGGCAGCAATGTTAACATGTCAGATCACAGTCGTCAACTTTGACAGAGTGATGAGAAGACAACTGGGTGCCCTAAATGTAATTTTGACAATCAGGTATTCCAACATACAATTTTAAATGTGTGTCTTTTTTCAATTTTTCAATTTTTCGATTTCTCGATCTTTTCACATTTCGATTTTTCTGTTCAATTTTTCAATTATTTGATCGGTTGTAGATTTTTCAGTTTTTCTCAATATTTCGATTTTTTAAATTTTTGATTTTACAATTTTCAGTTTTTCCTTTTTTTTAGTTTCGATTTCCCGATTTTTTAATTTTTCAATGTTTCAGTTTATCGATATTTTTGAATTAATTTTTTTTCAATTTTCAATCTTTCTAATTTTATATTTTTGGAATTTCGAGTTTTCCGAAGTCTCGATTTTTCGATTTTTCAATTATTGACAGCAATGTTAACATGTCAGTCCACAGTTGTCAATTTTGACAGAATGATGAGAAGATGACTTGGTGCCCTAAATTTAATTTTGACGATCAGGTATAACAACATACAATTTTAAATATTGCCAACCTGACAAAAAAAATCACAATTTTTCGATTCATCGATTTTTACTTCCTGAGCGTAAGCAAAGGAAGTATTGTAATCGAGTCCGTCGGCCGACTCTCTACTTTTACGTTTTCTCGATCTTTCATGACCCCTAGAAGACGAAGAAATAGGTCTCCCATTTCCGTCTGTCTGTCCGTCTGTCCGTCCGTCTGTCCGTCTGTCCGTCTGTCCGTCTGTCCGTCTGCCGTCCCGGATTTTTATTAGACAGATAATCTCCGAAAGTACTGGACCGATTGTTGTGAAATTTTGTACTTATATTAAGAATATCATGTAGATGGTAAAACGCTAACCAAAATTTGTCTAATCATCCCCACCACTAATGCGATGACGTCACTTCAAAATTGTACATAGTAAATGGGTTTTCAATTGTATAAAATAACATAGTCCCACACATGTAGTTTACAACTCCGAATCGACTTTTCACCCGAAACGTCCAGATTTTTGGAAAAAAAATCAAAATTATAAAACAACATTTTGAAATTTAATTTTTAATCTGCTAACCAGAATGCTTTGAAATGTTGCAGATACTTTAAGGCTATAAAGAGCATCATAAATCTTTAGTAAAAAAATATTTGCTTATCCCTTCCAAAAACTTGATGACGTCAGCTCAAAAGTTTGTGGAATAAATCATATCTAAAATGTACAAAATATGATGAGTCTGTACTTGTGATCTATCACTCCATTCATATTTTTTGGATTTGCATATACAGGGTGACTCAAAAAAATTAATGAATGCGTAAATTTATTTTATTGATTTACTCAGGAACTACAAAACCGAATTCTTTGAAATAAACTGCGAAAAAAAAACATAATAGGCATGCAGTCGTCACGTTTCGGACAGCGAGGGAAGTACTGTCTAAACTCTTTAGACCAATTTTTTAAATTATACATTTTTTCATTTCATTTTTATTTTTCGTTTCTCGCTTTCTCGATCTTTTCACATTTCGATTTTAGATTTTAGGGCTTTCTGGTTTTTGAAGGTTCTCACTTTTCGATTTTTTAAATTCCAGGTTTTTCATATTTCCGATTTTTCGACACCTCGGTTTTGCATTTTTAAAATTTTTCGACTTTTCGATTTCGCGATTTTTCTGTTTCCTTGCGTTTTTCCATTTATCAATTTTTCGATGGATCAATTTTGGAATTTTTCAAAATGTCGATTCTTCAATTGCTCGATTTTCCATTGCTCGTTTTTTCAATTTTTTGATTCTTCAATTTTTCGATACTTTAAATTTTAGATTTTTCGATTTCTCGATTTTTCAGTATTCCAATTTTTCAAATTTTTTTATTTTTGTTTTTTTTCAGTTGATGTTCCATTTCTTGATCTTTCGATTTCTCAACTTATTGCTTTTAGATTTTTCAGTTTTTCTGAATATTTCAGTTTTTAAAATGTTTGATTTTCCGATTTTGCAATTTTTCGGTATTTTGATGTTTCGATTTCGCGATTTTTCAATTTTTGATTTTTCAATTTTTCCATGTTTCACTTTAGAATGTTTCATTACGATTTTTCGATTTATCCATTTTTCTTTGGTTCAATTTTGGATTTTTGAATATTTCGATTCTTGAATTGTTCGATTTTCGGTTTTTCAATTCCTTGATTCTTCAATTTTTCAGTATCAGATTTTTCGAAGTTTTTAATTTTTGTTTTTTCAATTGATGTTTCGATTTCTTGATCTTTCGAGTTTTCAACTTATCGGTTTTAGATTTTTGAGGTGTCTCAAATTTCGAATTCTAAAATTTTTGACTTTTCGATTGTTTAATTTCCCGATTTTTTGACTTTTCAGTATTTCGATTTATGGATATTTTTGAATTTATTTTTCCATCTTTTTATGTTTTCATTTGTCAATTTTTCGATTTTTGGATTTTGGATTTTCCAGTTTTTCGATGTCTCTATTTTTCGATTTTTCAATTATTGGCAGCAATGTTAACAGTTGACAGTCAACTTTGACAGAGTGATGAGAAGATGCCTTGGTGCCCTAAATTTGACAATCAGGTATACCAACATACAAGTTTAAATGTTGCCAACCTGACAAATATATAAATATTTTAGTGAGAAAAAGACTAAGAACATACATTGGAAACGAAATAAAATAAATTTATGCTTTCAAAAAATCAAAATTGGTGGAAGGTTATTCCCTCGCCTCTGAAGTACATAATAAATGATATTCAGTTTTTTCAAAAAATTACAAAATTTGATTTTGCGTCATAACCCTTCAAGTCAAATTAAAGAAATTTATGTAATGTTTGTTGTTTAATATAAATAAAACTGGGTCCTAATGTACAGAGTTTTTACTAAAAAATCAAAAATATTATAACCTTCAAATGTCGATATTTCAGTTTTTTTCAGATAGAAGACCTTGTATTTTATTACTACGTCTTAGTTTGTTCTTTGATTTTTTGTTACATTGTTGTCATAATTTTTTTGGAAAATTTTTGAAAATTTTGAATTCACTTTTCGTGTTTATTCGAACAGATATCGTGACAGTGATTTCAGATTTGTAACTAGCGGAAGATTATCTACAATTTGATACCAATTTTCGGTCGATTGAATCAATTTTAACCATTTTTTTGGAAAATTTTTTAAATTTTTGAATTCAGTTTTCGTATTTATTGGAACAGATACCGTGACGGAGATTTTAGATTTGTACCTAGCGGAAGGTTATCTACAATTTGACACAAATTTTCAGTCGTTTGAACCAATTTTAATAATTTTTTCGAATTTTTTTGAGAAATTTGAATTTACTTTTCGTGTTTATTAGAACAGATATCATGTGGCGATTTCAGATTGGTCACTAGCGGAAAATTATCTACAATTTGACACCAATTTTCAGTCATTTGAACCAATTTTAATCATTTTTTTGGAAAATTTTTGGAAATTTTGATTTCACTTTTCGTGTTTATTCGAATAGATACCTGACGGCGATTTCGGGTTTCTAACTAGCGGAAAATTATGTACAATTTGGCACGAATTTTTGGGAGTTTGATTCCATTTTAACCATTTTTTTGAAAAATTTTTGAAAATTTTGAATTCACTTTTCGTGCTTGGTGGAACAGATATCGTGACGGCAATTGCAGATTTGTCACTAGTTGAAGATTATCTACAATTTGACACTAATTTTCACGCGATTGAACCAATTTTACCATTTTTTTTGAAAATTTTTGAAATTTTTGAATTCAGTTTTCGTATTTATTGAAACAGATATCGTGACGGCGATTTTAGATTTGTAACTGGAGGAAAATCATCTACAATTTGACACCAATTTTCGGTGGATTGAGCCACTTTTAACCATTTTTTTGAAAAATTTTTGAACATTTTTTCAAGGACACGTATCTCAATTTGTCGAGAAAATGGAACCCTTTCTGATTTATATATAAAAAAAACTTTTAATAAGAAAAAGTACAAGAACATACATTGGAAACCAATTTCCACCAAACCATTCGATAAAGAATTAAATATAACACCTTTTTCATTCATTGATCATTTTGAGTTTTTTTTATTTTAATTTAGTTAAGTTTCTTTCTTTCATTTGAAGTTATTCAGTTGAAACAGTGTGAAAAAGAACTTCGATATATTTTATAGCATTCCACAATGCAAACTTTCTAATCTACTAAATCCGGTGATTCATTATGATATAATTGAGTATTTACTTTTTTAATCTAAATCAAATTTTATTTCTTATCTAATCAGATAAAAGTTTGACCTAGGTTTTGTGAGTGTTTCCAAAAAAAATGAAAGCTAATAAATAAATAAATAAATAAATAAATAAATACTTTATTCCCAACAGGCTAATATACACCCAATTACAGGGAACGATGTAATTAAAACTAAAACATTACTTACATGATGTTATAACTAAAAAAAATAATTAAACTAAATAATCACTTAATTAATACCATAAACTTCCAATATAGAATTTTGCAACATTTTAAAAGAATTAATATTTATGTCACAAACTTCCGCTATCCCATTACATAAGTCACACATTAAATTAACTGGAGATTTGCGTAAAACATTGGTTCTATTCGCTGAACAATAAAATATAGTACTCTGTCGAGAGTTGATTCTTGGTACTTTAAAATTGAGTTTATTAAGCAACTGGGGCACATCAACTTTATTATTCAGCATATTGAACAAAATCTTGACGACAGTAACAATTCTTCTAGTTTTTAATGATACAAAATTAAATCTAGTCAACAAATTTAAGTGACTAAATCCTCTTTCCGGATAGAATCTGTCTAAACGAAAACATAAAAATTTAAAAAAGCTAATAATAACACCAATATTTATTTCAGTACATTTCTGTTATATGGATTATTTTCTGATTTTTTTACTCCTCTCAGACAGATACAACCTGACCTGACTTGAACAAACCTGGTCTAACTTGACCTGACTGAACTTGGCCTGACTTATTATTTTTTGTTTAAAGTTAAACTAAGCTAAGGATCAATTTTACTGAAAACTTACCGTAGACAAAATACAAATTATATTTCAAAAAAATAAAGATCCATAAAAAACGTAAACGTTTTTCTCTGCTAAAAATTCTACTTTAACTATGTCAGGCCAATTTTTATTCATAAATCAGCATTCCGATCAGGAAAGAATGTTGAAAAATCTAAATCATATAAACGTTTCTGGTTCTTCATTAATTACTTCAGTAAAACGTCAATTAATTTTAACGACATGCTGGCTATCTCATTCCAATTTGTAAACACAGCTTTAAATAAATTGAAACTGACAATTACCATGCAGAATCAAATTTTATCCGGTGTCTTTAGCGGGGTCAGTAATTCACAAATCTGGTTGTAAACCACAATTGAAGTTATTAGCTTGAATTGTTCTTGAAAACCGCTTTTGTGTTCGGTTTTAGCAGCTTCCTGGACAAAGTCAGTAAAAGTTTTTCCTCGTTGACCCAACAATCAACGTCCCTCACACATACCTAAAGTGTGCACAATAACGCTTTCATTGTTAACTGATTTTACGTCCCATGACGATTCAACCCAACAATCGATACCGCCTGCGGTCCTGTTACCTTCACCACAGTCAGTACAATGTCACATACCAGAGAAAAAAGCACCAAAGGTCCCTCACCAAAAAACCGATTAGATTAGCTCGACTTCCTACGGAAAAATTATACAAATTGTAGCAATTTTCAGAATTACGACCATAACTAGAATAACTTCCTCATGTTCTGCGGTTTATTTTCTTGACTATTGTCACGCTCCATCATTTCATTACGTCATTTACGATAATGAGCGGTTGAAGCCCCCCATTACAATAATGGTACCCACATTCTTATTGGTTTTTCGTTTTTGCAGGGATCGGATCCCCGGGTGGCGACATGTCGTGGAAAGCTCCAAAACCGCCGTTCCAAGCTCAACCAGGAAATCAACAAGGAGTTGAGGCTGAGGGCGGGGGCTGAGAACCTCTTCAAGGCTACCACGAATCGGAAACTCAAGGAAACGGTAGCCTTGGAACTCAGTTTCGTCAACTCGAATTTGCAGTTACTCAAGGAGCAGTTAGCTGAGCTGAATTCATCAGTGGAGTTATATCAGAGTGACAGGTAATTTAAGAATAATAATAATAGTAATGACGGAGTGATGGGGAATTCCTCGTTCTAATTGAGTTACGTATCTAATGGAATGAAAAAGAGAAAGCGTATTGATTATGATGAGATTTAGTCACTCGACATTATTATTTGCCCAAGTGCTCATCCATTCCAATATGTTTTCATAACATCCAGTCATTATCATCAGTCATTTATCAGGTATCACACAAAACTACTAAACATTAATTAAAAATCTTAAAAATGCGTCTTTCCCATATGACGAAAGAAGTCAAAGGTGAGCAATTTCGTGCTAAATAACAGGTTCCTTAAAATTAATGTTGGCATACTTGAATATATTTCCAGTGCACATGACATCATTATCTTGACCTAGCCTAAAAGTGAGTGTGGTCTTGCCGCAACTACTCTTTATCAAACAATGGAAGATTTTAGAAAACACTCATAATTTATTGAGAAAGATTATCACACGAGGAAAACGAGGTCGATAACATCGCTTGTCAAAATTTTCAGAAGACACTCATTCCAAATTCGCAACATGTTGCATATTCATGAAAACGATACCGAAGCATAAATTATCGTTATAGTCAGCGATGGCTAATATAAAATGATAAAAAGCGTGGAAACATTCAAAAATGACGCTATAACTCACGATCCCTCCACTATCATCACGTTAAAACGCCTTCCTAAAATGGAAGATAAACACGCAAACATCATAATCGTACGTTAAGGAACTAATTAAGTAATTTAGATAACACTTCTCGAGGTGGTTCTGAAAGCCTGCGAAATAAATTTTTTGCCCGGAGATTGCTCGGTCAGTTTAACAAGAAGAACAGAATTAGCAAAACCGTTAATGTGGCGCAAAAACGAAACCAAAACAAATTAGTGGAGAAATTCCGGGCTGATTTGTGTTGATTTAAGCGGATTTGGAGCAAGTGGAGCAGGCGCTCGCGGAATTATTTTGTAATATGTTGGTTTATGTTTCTAGCTATTTATGTAAGGTGTCTTCCAAATTATAATGAATAAGAATTTTTTTGAAATTTGAACTACTTTGTGAGAGTCAATTTAAAATTTTGTTCAAATGTTCTTGTATTTTTTAACAATCCAAATTTTTACAAAAAACCAATAACAGTATTGTTTTTTATATTTCTGGCAAATTATTTTATTAAAAAATCAAAAATTTTATAAAATTCAAATGTCGATATTTCAGTTTTTTCAAATACAAGACCTTGTATTTTATTACTACGTCTTGCTTTGTTCTTTGCTCTTTTGTTACGTTGTTGTGTCTTTTAAACAAGTGAAAAAATGCAAAAGCATTATTTTTTTGGAACATTTTGAAATCAGTTTTCGTATTTATTCCAACAGATATCGTAACGGCGATTTCAGTTTTGTCACTAGCGAAAGATTATCTACAGTTTGAGACCAATTTTCGGTCGATTGAATCAATTTTAACCATTTTTTTGGAAAATTTTTGAGAATTTTGAATTCACTTTTCGTGCTTGGTAGAACATATATCGTGACGGCAATTGCAGATTTGTCATTAGTTGAAGATTATCTACAATTTGACACCAATTTTCACGCGATTGAACCAATGTTACCATTTTTTTGGAACTTTTTTGAAAATTTTGAATTCAGTTTTCGTGTTTTTTGGACCAGATATCGTGACGGCGATTTCAATTTGTCACTAGCGGAAAATTATCTATCATTAGACACCAATTTTCGGTTATTTGAACCAATTTTACCATTTTTTTTGGAAAATTCTTGATATTTTTGAATAAACTTTTCGTGTTTATTGAAACAGATGTCGTGACGGCGATTTTAGATTTATAACTGGAGGAAGATCGTCTACAATTTGACACCAATTTTCGGTGGATTGAGCCAATTTTAACCATTTTTTTGTAAAATTTTTGAAAATTTTAATTTCACTTTTCGTGTTTATTTGAATAGATACCATGAAAGCGATTTCAGGTTTCTACCTAGCGGAAGATTATCTACAATTTGGCACGAATTTTTGGAAGTTTAATTCCATTTTAACCATTTTTTTGAAATTTTTGAAGTCACTTTTCGTGCTTGGTCGATCAGATCTCGTGACGGCGATTTCATATTTGTCACTAGCGGAAAATTATCTAAAATTAGACACCAATTTTCAGTCGTTTAAACCAATTTACCATTTTTTTGGAAAATTTTTGAAATTTTTGAATTCAGTGTTCGTATTTATTCAAACAGATATCGTGACGGCGATTTTAGATTTGTAACTGGAGGAAGATCACCTACAATTTGACACCAATTTTCGGTGGATTGAGCCAATTTTAACCATTTTTTTGGAAAATTTTTGGAAATTTTGAATTCAATTTTCGTGTTTATTGGAACAGATATCATGACGGCGATTTCAGATTTGTAACTGGCGGAAGATTATCTACAATTTGACACCAATTTTCGGTTGATTGAACCAATTTTTCCATTTTTTTGGAAATTTTTTTAATTCAGTTTTCGTATTTATTAAAACAGATATCGTGACGGCCATTTTAGGTTTGTAACTGGAGGAAGATCATCTACAATTAGACACCAATTTTCGGTCGTTTGAACCAATTTTACCTTTTTTTTTGGAAAATTTTTGAATTCAGTTTTCGTATTTATTAAAACAGATATCATGACGGCGATTTCAGATTTGTAACTAGCGGGAGATCATTTGCAATTTGACACCAATTCTCAGTCGATTGAACCAATTTTAACCATTTTTTTGGAATTCTTGTAAATTCTGAATGCAATTTTCGTGTTTATTGAAACTGATATCGTGACGGCAATTTTAGATTTGTAACTGGAGGTAGATCATCTACAATGTGACACCAATTTTAGGTGGATTGAGACAATTTTAACCATTTTTTTGGAAATTTTTGGAAATTTTAAATTCAGTTTTCGTGTTTATTGAAACAGATATCGTGACGGGGATTTCAGATTTGTCACTAGCAGAAGATTATCTACAATTTGATACCAATCTCCGGTTGAATGAATCAATTTCAACCATTTTTTTGGAAAATTTTTGAGAATTTTGAATTCACTTTTCGTGTTTATTGGAATAGATATCACGACGGCGATTTCGGGTTTCTAACTAGCGGAAGATTATTTACAATTTGGTACGAATTTTTGGAAGTTTTATTCCATTTTAACCATTTTTTTGGAAAATTTTTGAATATTTTGAATCCAATTTTTGTGTTAATTGGAACAGATATCGTGACGGCGATTTCAGATTTGTCACTAGCAGAAGATTATCTACAATTTGACACCAATCCCCGGTCGATTGAATCAATTTTAACCATTTTTTTTGAAAATTTTGATTTCGCCTTTCGTGTTTATTCGAATACCATGATGGCGATTTCAGGTTTCTAACTAACGGAAGATTATGTACAATTTGGCACAAATTTTTGGAAGTTTGATTCCATTTTAACCATTTTTTTGAATAATTTTTGAAAATTTTGAATTCACTTTTCGTGTTTACTGGAACAGATATCGTGACGGCGATTTCATAATTATCATTAGCGGAAAATTATCTATAATTAGACACCAATTTTCGATCGTTTGAACCAATTTTACCATTTTTTTTTTGGACAATTCTTGATATTTTTGAATAAAGTTTTCGTGTTTATTGAAACAGATGTCGTGACGGCGATTTTAGATTTGGTACTGGAGGGAGATCATCTACAATTTGACATCAATTTTCGGTGGATTGAGCCAATTTTAACCATTTTTTTGCACAATTTTTGGAAATTTTGAATTCAATTTTCGTGATTATTGGAACAGATATGACGGCAATTTCAAGTTTGTATCTAGCAGGAGATTATCTGCAATTTGACACCAATTTTCAATCGATTGAACCAGTTTTAACCTTTTTTTTTTTGGAAAAATTTTTGAATATTTTGAATTCAATTTTTGTATTAATTGGAACAGATATCGTTGCGGCGTTTTCAGATTTGTTAGAAGCGGAAGATTATCTACAAATTGGCACAAATTTTCGGTCGACTGAACCAATTTTAACCATTTGTTTGGAAATTTTTTGAAAATTTTGAGTTCACTTTTTGTGTTTATTCGAACAGATATCATGACGGCGGTTTCAGATTTGTCACTAGCGGAAGATTATCTACAATTTCACACTAACTTTGAGTCGTTTGAACCAATTCTAACCATTTTTTAGAAACATTTTTAAATTTTGAATTCAGATTTCGTGTTTATTCGAACAGATATCGTGACGGCGATTTCAGATTTGTTACTAGCGGAAGATCATCTACAAGTTGACACCAGTTTTTAGTGGATTTAACTAATTTTAATCATTTTTTTGGAAAATTTTTAAGAATTTTAAATTCAGTTTTCGTGTTTATTGGCTCAGATATCGTGACGACGATTTCAGATTTGTCACTAGCGGCAGATTATCTACAATTTGACACCAATTTTCGGTCATTTGAACCAATTTTAACCATTGTTTTGAAAGAGTTTTGAAAATTTGCATTTAAAAAAAAAATTGTGAAAATTGGAATAACGTGGCAATTGGAATTTACAAAACAAAAATAGTCGTACAGCCTAGACGAGGCCGATCAGAGTGAGTAAAATTATACTAGGTGACCCAAGTAAATAAACAAAGTAGTGTAACTTACTCAGACTTTCTTTACATTTCTAATAATAATAATTAATGAGATATATACAGGGTGAGTCACTTACTGCGCGTTCCTTGGTATCTCATTAGTTATTAGAAATAGGCAAAATTGAAAGACCAAAGTTGTACGGTTTTTGAGAACCAAACTCCAAAATTATTTTTAACTATACTGTATCAATAGATATTTTAATTGACCTTCTCCTAAGCTTTATAACCACATTTTATTTTTGAAATTACAATGCGATGTTGCAACGTTATTCCAATTTTCTTAAAAATTTTCACCAATGGAAGGGTCAAAAAAAAATCACGGTAGGGTTATTTTTAGAATCTGTGGTACCACATTTTATGGAGAGATAAAGAAAGATACCAGATTTATTATGGTGTAAATGACATTAAATTTTTTTATACAGAGTATTTATAAAAAATGTTTTAATTATTACAATTTTTTGCTAAGTATTTTCTTTAACGTTGATATTTACTGCGATTTTTTACTTGTTTAAGAGGAGGATTTTTTAAACCCTCTGTATAATAAATATAAAGGTTTTCTTACAAAAAAAAACTAAGTTGTGTGTTAAGTCTTAAAAAGAGGACATTCTGTACAGTTAAAAATAATTTTGGAGTATTGTTCTCAGAAAAGCGAAAAAGAAAAACACCAGTTACAGTGTAAGAAAAAAAAGTGACCTATGAGGGAATCGAACTCGCGACCTTCGCGTACCTCGTGCTCTGATCAAATGAGCTGTTTCAGAAAACGCGCGTCCGTACCGGATATAAAATGTTCCAAAACTCAAGGCAGATTCATAAACCACAAGTACAGAATTACATTATTTATAAAATTTAAATAGCATTTATGTAGCAATAACGCCATGAAATGGTTGGTGGAGATCATTAGGACGATGTTTCTAACATACATCTAAAATTTAACACCAATCGGTTCAGCGTTTTGGAAATTATCCGTCTAAAAATTCGACACAATAATTGCCCATAATTTTAATTTCATAAATACATTTTAATTAATAACGGTTTGATCAAAAGTGGGTTAAAGTTATGTTTACTAATAGACTATTACACTGGGGTCGATTATTGGACAAGATAAGTTTTTATATCGTTTTCTTAGCCTCCAGTTGACCCAGAAATCCATTTTTAAATAATTGATGGAAATTGATACATCAGTTTTTTTCTTAAAGAACTATGTAATGACTGTTTCTAACTACAAAAGTGCAAACGATATCTAACAACATTCACAATAAATAAAAAAATAGTTGCTATAAAAAAGAAGTCACATCATTTTAAAACAGTAAAAACAAAAATTTTAAAAATATATTTGTTTCGAGACCAGACTGTATGTGATTGAGCACCATTTGATAGAATCATCCAGACGAAAAACACATATTTTCAAAAACTGGTTATTTGCTGCACTCTAGGCAACTGTCTTTCATAATCTGATACTGTTACACAGTTACAAAATAGTGGCGGTTCTTTCTAGTCCATGTATCAATTTTCTCCACACAATTAATCCCGTAATTTAAATACAATATAAGACAGTACCACCATTTTAATAAATGCCTGCAAGTCTATAATTTTGCGATTTGGCACAGTCCTCCAGTGGACTACCCGACAAAGCTCCAACCTTCCATACCGGTAACTCGTCCGTCCAGCTGGACATTGTCGCTGGCGATCTCGTCCAGTTATACAAAATTGACCATACCTAACCCGAATCGGATACCCACAGCGCATAATATCTAGACCAACTGTACATAATAATAAAATCCCCGCCGTGTAATTTGATTTCCTAACGACTTCATTTCTCCATTTTTGCCGTCGACCAATTTGTGCAATTAATTCGCGCTGATGGACGGCTGGTTTTCTTCCGCTGGAGATGGACACACCCGCGTCATCATCAGCACTTCTTACATAATGAGTGCCATTGTACGGTGTCGATGTGATGTCCGTAACAGTTACGTGAGATGATGGGATGTGGGTCAGGCTAGTTAGGGCCCGAGGCGAGATGAAGAGAAATATGTTAATAGAGCCGGTGCAGAGCGCCGATCGACCTACAACCACAAAGAAGAGGCCGTTCTCTCAACCTGCGTCCTCGACATTCCATGCGATTCATTTGCGGCACATAATAAACAAAAATCGAAAAATTTTCACACCTGACCTAGTTTTTCGAAGAGGAAGGTGCGCCGACATATGGTGGTTTTTTGCTTTTTTTATTTCCTTAGCGGGAGATGGGTGTAGAAAAAACCGTGCGGAGAATGTCATCAGGAGATGCTAAATTTATTGTCATAATTAAGACATTAACAAGTTTTTTGCACGATTCTGTAACCTAACCCGGTTTTTCTTTCCAGCACGGACGCCGTGATGCCGATGATCCCCCTCGGACTCAAAGAAACAAAAGAGATCGACTTCCGGGACCCCTTCAAGGACTTCATCCTGGAGCACTACAGCGAAGACGCCAGCCAATACGAAGATGCCATAGCCGACTTCATGGACACGAGGCAGGCCATAAGGACGCCCTTGCGCGACCTCAGCGGCATATCCCTCCTGTTTCGGTACTACAACCAGCTGTACTTTGTTGAAAGACGGTTTTTTCCGCCGGATAGGTCGTTAGGGATTTATTTCGAGTGGTTCGATTCGTTAACTGGTGTGCCATCGTGTCAAAGGACTGTAGCTTTTGAGAAAGCCTGTGTTTTGTTCAATATGGGGGCTATATATACGCAGATAGGGGCGAAGCAGGACAGATCCACGGCGAAGGGGTTGGATGCTGCTGTAGATAGTTTCTTGAGGGCTGCGGGGACCTTCAGGTACATACACGAAAATTTCACCAATGCGCCATCTATGGACCTGAGGCCGGAGATGCTGGAAATGCTGGTTCAGTTAATGTTGGTGAGTGTTTTTTGTGTTTTTGTGAGTTAAAAGTAAAGTATGTGGGTATTACTGGTAGTAATAAAGATAACTCAACTAAGATTAAACACGGTTTAAATATAAATTGGTTTTTAAATAGCCTCAAAATAAGAAAAAAATCTATATTCATTTTCAATTTTCCTTATTCTTGTGGTGACTGCAGATCATATCACAGTACATATTGCACGGAAACGGAATGTCGTAGGTTTGCAATTCCTCCAGGAAATTTTCAAAGGTATTCACTTTCACTCACTAAGAAACAACTGTAGGATTTCGTTGGTGGATAAAGATTAAGAGCTCTAATTCCTTTCTCATATTTCATAACAATAATTCATTGTCTTTACTTCCTACATCCTTGTCATACACGATTACCTCTGTCAATGATTAAATCATCAGCAACATGCATTTATAACATTTACTCCGACATAATTAATAATTTGTTAAATTATGACTGTAGAGAAATTCCGCGATGATTTTACTCTATTAATACACACTAGATTTCTACCCTCAAAAGACCTGCCACATATTATACACTCCACTCTATTTCACCTGGCCGCAGAGTATTATAATAATAATTATAAGAAAAAGAACAAGCAAAATTGAATTATTCCACACTCTATCAAGAATTTCAAGTAACAAATAATTTACATGAAGTTAAATAATCCCTTAATTCAAGTTAGGTTATGTATCAAATGAAAATGAAGTTCATCTAGTCGCACACCGGAAGCTTGTCGAACGGTGATACACAAATAACAACATAAAAAAAAAACAGCACAAATTATACCTTATATATCCTGGTTCACTGTCATTAATTTGAGTTATGAAATTTTTCACGGTCCTTTCTCCCAAAATGGATGGACGTTTAAAATTAGTTTAAATTCCACAAATGAACTATTAAAAAATGTCGAGTGAGAAGCTTATGAACTGTGAGTAATGTAAAAACATCCAGAAACTTTAGATACTTCGTTAAAAATAAATTGAGCCATTTATTTTGTACATGGTTGCACTTAAACAATAAAACAAAAATTACACGTGTTGACGAATAAGTCACAGTTTTACGCATTTCAGAAAATCATTAGTAAACTGATATTGGACTAATTACACTCCTCGGATTATCACTGTATTTCTACTAATGTCAATGGTAAAATTTGCACTCCAAAAAGCGCCCACTTTGTGAGTATTTAGTGAGCAAGCGGTAGGCCCACCCATGATACAAGTAAATATGGTATGGACATACGCAGGTTTGCTGACGTCACCTGGCTGTATTCAGGCGGGAAATTGAAATATTTACCGAGCCCAACTAAAGTCACTAGATCTACTATTACTTTTAGAAAGTACGGCAAACTGCCTGTGGTCGGAATTCGACAGAGAGGAACCTAACCTATGTGTTAAACAAAGATAGCGCGAGGCTAGTAATTTTCGCTATCTGTCAACGAAAGGTTGATGTGTTTACGATTTGAGGTTACGACAGACTGTACTAGAATTATTGAGTTAACGGACCGGAAAGAACACTATTCCAGTCCCAAAGTAACTCCAGCCCTATTCAACGAGAAAGTGTCACCGGTAACCAGCAAACAGTCGTGGAAGACGTGTTACCACCAAGGCAATTGACGGCCAAATGACAGTAACAGGATCGCCATACTGGTTAATAGTTGTGTATTAAATTATTGGTTTGTACTTACCAAATGTACGAGATTCTTTGTACAATTATTATTACTATTCACAATCAGTGTAAAAACAATTTGCAATGTTTCACAATTTTTATTCTGCAGAGTATCTTCGGCTGAAATATACATATTTTCTTATTATTTGCTTCATCCCCGCTATTTTTTTAACAACGCTAGGTCGCTAGCAAACCACCAATTTGTTTTTACGCATCAGTTTGGTAACAATAAACAATAACCCTCATAACCACAAAAACTCATAACTGCCTCATAACCCTTAAAATTGATATTTGACATCAGATGTCAACACAGAAGTGGAAGGTCATTCATTCCACATGACGTCAGATAACGTTGCGCAGAAGAAGACGAGTTTTGGTTCATGGGATGTCCATACCATATTTACTTGTATCATGGGCCCACCCATCTAGTTTATTCTAGTAACAACTCTTAATATTGTTCAGTCTTTTCTTTGTAAAAACTAGCCCCGCCCACCCTCCCTCTATTTTCTAAAAAGTGTTCAGCTGCCAAAATGAGTTATCTTAGCAAATGCTAGCCCCACTTACCCGCCCTTTTCCTAATTTTATTTCTGTTCAGTACAAGATATATTTTTCATTTTGGGCATATAAAAATAATCAGTGAAATAGGGATGGAGTGGGTGGGCGGGGCTAATTATATAATCGTCTGTAGAGTGAGAGTGGAAACAAATAGAGCCTAGGCTATAAAAAAATAAAATAAAAAAGCGACAATTGTAACTTTTTTTGTACTATTTATTTAAGTAAGATTAACTATTTTCTGCAGGTTAATGAACAAGCGGTAGGCCCACCCATCTAGTTTATTCTAGTACCAACTCTTAATATTGTTCAGTCTTTTCTTTGTAAGAACTAGCCCCGCCCACCCGCCCTCTATTTTCTCAAAAAGTGTTCAGCTGCCAAAATCAGTCTTATCTTAGCAAATGCTAGCCCCACCCACCCGCCTTTTTCCTAACTTTATTTCTGTTCAGTATAAGATATATTTTCCATTTTGGGCATATAAAAATAATCAGTGAAATAGGGATGGGGTGGGTGGGCGGGGCTAATTAGATAATCGTCTGTGGAATGAGAGTGGAAACTAATATAGCCTAGGCTATAAAAAAAATAAAAAAAATCGGCAATTGTAACTTTTTTGTACTATTTATTTAAGTAAGATTAATTATTTTCGGCAGTTTAATGTGCAAGCGGTAGGCCCACCCCTCTAGTTTATTCTAGTAACAACTCTTAATATTGTTCAGTCTTTTCTTTGTAAAAACTAGCCCCGCCCACCCGCCCTCTATTTTCTCAAAAAGTATTCAGCTGCCAAAATCAGTCTTATCTTAGTAAATGCTATTCCCACCTACCCGCCTTTTTCCTAATTTTATTTCTGTTCAGTATAAGATATATTTTTCATTTAGAGCCTAGGCTATAAAAAAATAAAATAAAAAAATGGCAACTGTAACTTTTTTGTATTATTTAAGTAAGATTAACTTTTTTCTACAGTCCTATAAGCAAGCAGTAGCCCCGCCCACCTACTTCAATTTTAGTAACTAATCTTAATATTGTGCAGTCTTATCCTTATAAGTACTAGGTGGGTAAAGTGCTGATTTGATCAAAAATGTTAGAACAGTTTTACACTTACCAAGTGCTCAACAGCATGACCAACGTGAGAGCAGATTTAAAGATTAAATTAAAGAATTTGAATATAAAAAAGTGGCTATATTGACTGAACAGAAAGTGAGTAAACGTTACTTCTGTTTAGAAATCCGATTTGCAAAGAATCGTCAAATGATTTTTTTTTAACTGAGATTTGCAAAATTTTGTCAGTGTGAATGAGGTGTTGATTAAAAATTTTCACAAAGAATACTGCCACGATTTTCATTTTCTTGGGCCCGAGTTGTTGATTAATTAATTCCAGTTTGTTCGATATGAATTCTTGAAAAGGAGTTCTTACCGAAAAATCTGTTGGGATATCTAAATTCTGAACCAAAGGTGACTACGTACTTTGAAAATTCGTAAAAATAAGTTGGTTAAGTCGCAGTTTCGTTTTTTATAAAAATTGGTCCAAGGAGCGTAGACAGTACTTTCCTCGCTATCGGGAACGTGACGACTGCAAGCCTATTATGGCTTTTTTCGTATTACATTTTTGTAATTCTTGATTTAATCAATAAAATTAATTGACTCAGTCATTAATTTTTTTCAGACACCCTGTGTAAGCAAATCTAAAAAGTATTAATGCAGTGTCACAAGTATAGACTCATTATTCTTTGCACATTTAAGCATTTTTTCAGCAAAATTTTGCGGTGGCGTCATCAAATTTTTAGGGGGGATGAGCAAATACATTTTGATCAAAATTTTACCATGCTTATGATAAATTTAAAACATCTCCAAGATTTCAAAGCATTCAGTTTTGAAGCTCCTGAAAAAATCAATAAAATAAATTCACACTTTCATTAATTTTTTGAGTCACCCTGTATATGCAAATTCAAAAAATATGATAGAGTGATAAATCACAACCACAGACTCATCATATTTTGCACAGTTAAGATAGGATTTATTCTGCAAAATTTTGAGGTGACGTCATCAATTTTTTAGGGGGGATGAGCAAATACATTTTGACTAAAAATTTATCATTAGTGGTGGGGATGATTAGACAAATTTTGAATAGCGTTTTACCATCTACAACATTATTATATTATATTCCTAATGTAAATACGAAATTTAGCAACAATCGGTCCAGTAGTTTCGGAGATCATCTGTCTAATAAAAATCCGGGACGGCAGACAGACGGACAGACGGACAGACAGACGGAAGCAGGAGACCTATTTCTTCGTCCTCTTGGGGTCATGAAAGGCCGAGAAAACGTAAAAGTAGAGAGTCGGCCGACGGACTCGATTACAATACTTCCTTTGCTTACGCTCGGGAAGTAAAAATTATAGATATACATAAAAACTTTACTACTTTACCTAACTTGACCATCCTGACCTGACATGATCGGAGATGAGCTGATCTGACCTAATCTTTTTTTTTCTATGAAAGCGGAAACCCTCATGGGCACCAGGGACTTAGATTCGACCATTTCTGCTAGTGCCAAGATTTTTACCGGCTAAAACCCCTTCCTCGACCAGCTGTTCTCTCACTCCCCTGGAATCGCGTTGGCATTTCTTCGAGGGGGTGGTTGGTCGCCCGTGTCGCATCTTTCCCATGTTTCATGTATTTGTCGTCTTTGCTTCATTCATTTTCCTCTTTAGAACCCTTGTCGCAAACTATTTCATCGGTGTTAATATGTGAACCTATTTTTAATTTCATGTTTTCCCTTTCACTACGCCATCTTTCACATTCTAGAAATAGATGCTCCGCTGACTCTATTTCGCTTCCACACTGTCACATTGCGCTGGGAATCTTCCCTATTGTGTGGAGGTACTGATTGAAATCCCCATGGTCTGTTAACAGTTGTGTCAAAAAGTAGTTTATCTCTCCATGGGCTCTATAATACCATGGTGTCGCGTCTGGTATCAGTTCCTCGTCCATTTCCCTTTATTGCTTTGACTCCATAGCCTCTACCACCTCTTCACTGTCTCACGTCTCTATTCCTCTACCGATCTTTGCGCCTTCTTAGCTCTTCTTGCCCTTCTTCTCTGTAGTCTCCTCAAGCTGTCCGCGTTTCTTTTTATTTCTATTCCCTTCTTCCAGATTGGGGCTGTTACAATTTCTACCAAATACCACTCCTAGGTATTTTGCTCTTTCTAGAGTGTGTATTTCTTCATCTCCTATCCGTATTATCGCCTCTGTCATCTTTCGTCATCTCTCAAGAATTACCGCATTTGTCTTTGCGGTTGCCATTTCTAGTCCCGCTTTGTCCAACCCTTTCTTGATTATCTGTACTGCTTTATTGGTCGCATTCTCTATGTGCGTCCTGTCTTTCGGTACCACCACTAGCATCAAATCATCTGCGTATCCTACTGTTATCACTACTTCTGGCATATCCAATTTCAGGACGTCATCATATAGAATCGTCTATAGTACTGGTCCTAAAACAGACCCTTGTAGCACTCCAGCTGTTATTTCCATCCATTGGCCATCGACACTTAGACAATCGACATCTATCTGAGAAATAGCTTTGCACCACACTCGTTAACCCTACTGTTACTTGTCTTCTTTTAATTGCCCATTGTCTCTACCATACACAGGGGTCTATATCTAGTGATCTCTGTTGTTTTTTCTTTAATTTTTAGGACTAGTACCAGTATTACTCTCTTTCCTTCACTGTGCTGGAAATGTTCCTTGGTCTCTTGGTCTTTTTTTTGCCATCCATTTTATCGCCTCAGGTATTCCATCTGGTCCTGGTGCCCTGCCTGCCTTTATGCGACTTGCCGCTGCAACAATCTCTTCAGAGCTGACCTGAACTGACCTAACCTTGACCTAACCTTGACCTAACCTTAACCTGACCGGACCTTTTTTTTCCTTTGCGAGGAGCGGAAACCTTCAAAAGGCTCCCCACGGGAAAATTATCAATTCCGCGGGGGAGTGTGGGATTTTTACCTCACTAAAACCGCTCCCCTTTTCCTGGTCATTATTTTCCTCATATATTCTTTTATCGTCTCCCAACTTTCCTTATTTCGCAGCATTGTCGGTATAAGATTTTCCCTACATACCTATATCTCCTTGTAGTATTGTTTTGAGTTCTTCTTGAGTTCTTCTCTTTCCTCGTACGTTTCCTTTCTTCCTTGTGGTCTTGTGACTGTCTATTCCTGTTTTCGTGCAGTCCTTTCCATTCTTACGCTAGTACATAGATCGGGATTGTCCCGGATATCACCATCAGGGCGTCATATGATATTATTCTATATGCGCTACTTATTCGTATTGGCATTGCCCTTTGTGTTGACTTTACCATGTTTTTGTATTTTTCTATTTTCATGGCCTCATATCAAACAGGTGCGCCATATACATAGTATTATAGACTGCAATGTGTTGTATATGACCCTCCTCTTGCTGGCTTTCGGTCCTTCGAGGTTAGGTAATAACTTCCCTAAGGCCGCTGCTGTTTTTCTTGTTTTTTTTTTCTGTGACATAGCTTATATATTTCCCAAATATCAGCCTCCGGTCGAGAATTACTTCTAAGTAGTTGTCTGTCAGTTCGGGTATTATTTGGGTATTCTCCATCTCAAGTTTGACCTCTTCGATTTTTCTTATACCGTTTAGTATTCTTGCTTTTGTTTTTTTTTTGCAATTTTTAGCCTATTTTCAATCATCCAGAGCCTTACTTTATAAAATGTCACATTGCCCTTCATGCATTGTTTTTGACTTGTCAATTGGAATTTGCCTTTCCTGGACTGACCTGACCTGACCTGGCTTGACATGACCTAACTTTACTTGACTTGACCATCCAGACCTAACCTCCATTGTCTTAAATAAATATTTTATCGTTTTTTTTTTTGACGGGGCTATTTTGACAAATCACGGTAAAAACAAACTAAATCGTCGACTTGGATGTTCCAACTTTATCTCCTTAACTTGTCGATTCCAAAACCAGGTCAAATTTACTCATCGTTACCATTTTTTCCAGGCCCAGGCTCGAGAATGCCTCCTCGAAAAACTCGACCTCCAATCAAAAGACAACCGTTCCATCGACATCTGCCTGGACCTTGCCCAAGAAGCGGCCCACCTCGCGGACTGCTACCGCCAAGTCCACGAAATAATATCGACCGAAGCCGTCCACGACTACGTGCCTTACAGCTGGATATCCCTGGTCCAAGTCAAAAAAGAATACTACACGGGGATGGCTCACTTCTACGTAGCCTCAGGCGTCCTCCACAAGGAAGCCTCCCAAATGTCAGCAACCACAAAAGACACCCTCCAGTTCTTGCACGCGGAAATCGCCTCGACGCAGCTGGACATCAGGCTGCCCAAAGACGACGCCGAAAGGAGACTCCTAGGTAGGGCGCATCTTCGCGAATCCTTGGTCCTGCACGAGGAGTGCCAACGGCAACACCGGATGTGTCGGGAGCTCCGGGGCAAGCAGGCTTTGGCGGCGGTTCTACGAACCGCGCACAAGACAGCACTACAGGCGTACGCGGACAATGAGAACGAAGACGATTTTAGTGATGTCTTGGACCCAGCACAAGTGCAAGGTGACTTAACACCAATGAGAGACGTCACTCTCTAACTGTAGTTTTGCAGCCGCCACGAAGTTCCAGTTGGCACTAACACCTCCGGACTTTGCCCAATACCGAGTGAACGATTTGTTTCGGGCTCTCGGTCCCATCGCCATTTTTTCAGCGAAGAGGCACTGGACTGCCCCGAGATTGGTCCAGTTGCATCGGGGAAGAACGTCAGACGGGTTTGGGTTTTCGGTGCGAGGTGACGCTCCTGTGATTGTGGCCATTGTTGAAGCAAATTCGCTTGCAGAGGTACTTTTGGCATCAATACCAAAATCCAAAACCACTTAACTTTTGTTTTCAGTTTGGTGGTGTCAAAGAGGGCGATTTTATCGTGGCCATTAGCGATAAAGATGTTAAGTGGTCGTCCCACGATGAAGTCGTTACTCTTATTAAGAACGCCGGAGATTCGTTAAGTCTAAAACTGGTCACCCCCATGGACAGGAATTACCTCAAGGTGGGTACGTGCAATCTAAACGAAGATTTTGTCTGACTATTTGTTTGTTATAGCAGCCGACGAAATCGTCGAAGGGCTCTATTTCCACCCATAGTAGCAGTTCGGGGGTGTCTAGCGGTATGTCTAGTCCTTCAGGATCGATGGCACAGCATAAAAATAGGAAAGGGTTGAACTGGATTCCTTTCAAACGGCACTCGTCGTCGAGGGAAGGAAAAGATTTTTTTGAGAACGTTATCTTACGATAGGTAGATGTGGCTATTTGCTGTTAACGTAGGCTGTACTTATTGTTGTCCGAATAGAGATTGTGTTAGTAGACGTTGCGTCACCGTACTGATATGAGATTTATTTATTTTTTTATCGTAATTAGAGAGGTAATTATTTTTGTAAGGTTACTTTAACCAGTCATCAAGTGTATCATGTTGAATAATTACTTTTAGGTAAGAGTACGTCAATTATAGTCACACTGTACAACAAAATTTTACTTGTATGTATTATATTAAAGATTTATATTGTTATTTTGTTTGTATATTATTATTTATGGATGTATATGATTTAAGTAAAAATAAATACGATATTTTAGTTTATACGTGTTCTTTATTAAATTAACAAAACAAAAGTGTACACAAAAATAATATTTTCAGAAGAATAACAATTAAATGAGTCCTTCTGAGAATCCGACTATACACTAAACAAAATGGAATACGCCTGGTTGCCTAAATATAGTACACAACAACAAAAACATCGTTTTTAGATCATTGAATATCGAAATAGTGGAAAAACCCTTTGTCTAAAAGATCTCACCTGACATTCCAAAAATTAAAAAAAGCGTAGTAACCGAACTAACTTTATTTTAAAATCACAAAAACAGGTTTCCCGAGCTTACATTTTATTACAAAAAATTCATATAAGTAACATTTTTAAAGACAATATTCTTATATTAACCCGTTTGGAGAGACAAAACACAGTTCCTTCTTGAAGAATAAGTTCAGGAAAAAGTTTAATCCATAAATTAATTTGAGTTATCTTCGACTTATTGACACACGTGTATCGCTTTAAATGCTTTCAATGCAAACTCACAGAACACCCAGTGGTTACGAAAGCGCATTTGAATAATTTGGATTTGAGAAAAAAAAAATTAAAAAAATCGTTAAACATAGGCAACCATGTGCACGTTAGCGCTTGTTGGGTAGTGGGTAGTTCTGCTTGGAATTTTAATTAGAGGGATGGTAGAAGAGGGGCGGTTTTGTAGTGAGGTGTGCAGGGTTGCTAGAGGGTCGCGGTCCTTCACGTTGGTTTGGTTTTGTGAGTAAAAGCATGGTGAAAACACGCGTAGCTATTTCAATGCGGCTTTCTAATCGGAAAAATGTGAATTTTCGACCGACGCTAACATGTGTTGTAAATTTGTTTTATTGTTTATAAATTGTTTATGAATTCACAGATCAGGTTAGGATTTTAATCGTTAACTGGTTCTAACACTTCTTAATTCTTCATAGATTTTTTTCGTGAAACTGGAGTTATTTTTATGTTTTAGAATCATTGTGTACTATTTTCTATTAATTTTTACATATTTTTAGTAACAATTTTGGTAGTTATTTATTTTAATAATAATAATAATAATACTTTATTTTTCCACAAATCATTCTATAAAAGAAAAAAGAAAAAGCAAATCATTCTAAAAAAAATCCTTACATTGTATATTTCCCTGCAAACATTTACCATTTTAAACATGATTTAAGTTTCTTGTAGTGAAAAAAACTACTTATATTAAGAAAAACCAAAACAAAATATATGCCCCGCCCACCCACCCTATCTCAATTGTGATGATTTTTTTATTTGCAAAATTCTTATTTTTTTCCACAAGAAATTACCATCATGTTCTTACAAAATTATTTTCAAAGGAAACTATAATTATTATCAAATAAAAAAGGAAGACAAAAATTGAAAAATTCCCAAAACTGATAATCTTGAAAAAATTGAGAAATCGAAAACTTAAAAATCGGGAAATCTAAACATCGAAAAGTCGAAAAATTTTAAAAATCGAAAAACCAAGATAGCAAAATTAAAAAATCGAGAAATTGAAGAATAGAAATAGTGAAAAAATACTGAAAAATTGAGAAATCGAAAAATCTAAAATTTAAAACATTGAAAAATTCAAATATCGAAAAATTGTAAAATGAGAAATCCAAACACGAAAAAAAAACAGAAAAAAAAACTGGAAAATCGAGAAATTGAACAATCGGATACATACTTGAAAAACCGAAACATCGAAAAATTGGGAAAATTTAAAAATTCCGAAAATTGAAAAATTGAAATATAGAAGAACTGAAAACTCGAGAAATCGAAAAACCTAAAATTTTAAAAACTGAAAAGTTAAAATATCGAAAAGTTGAAAAATTGAGAAATAGAAGTATAAAATAGTCGAAAAGTTGAAAAATCTAAAGTTTAGAAAACGAAAAATTTAAAATCCAAAAAATAAAAAGTCGAGAAATCGAAAAATCCAGAACTCAAATGTTAAAAAATAAAAGAAAAATTGAAAAATCGAAAAACTGAAAAATTACAAAATTGAACGAAATGTCGAAAAATTGAAAAATCCAAAACCTGAAAAATCGAAAAATTTAAGAACTGAAAGTTCAAGACTTTGGGCAGTCGAAAAATGGAAAAACCAAAAAATAGATTAATTGAGAAATCGGAAAACTGAAAATTCAGAAATGTCAAAATTTGAAAAATTAAAAAATATTGAAGAACTGAAAAATCGAAAAATTGAAATGTCTAAAATTTAAAACATCAAAAAATCAAAAAAATAAAAATTCGAAAATCTAAAACTTAAAAGTCGAAAAACTGAAAAATCAATAAATTAAGAAATCAAAACTCGAAAATTTAAAAAATTGGAAAATTGAAAATCGGAACATTGAAAAATCGAAAAACCGACAAATCGAAAAATCGAAACATCGAAAAATTCAAAAATTAAGACATTGAGAAATCGAGCATTCGAAAGTCGAAAACTCGAAAAATTGATAAATCGAAGTAGGCCAAAATCGAAAAATCTAAAATTTTAAAAATTGAAAAATTAATCTATCGAAAAGTTGAAAAATCGAGAAATCACGAACTATAAAACAGTCGAAAAACTGAAAAATCTAGAAGTCTAAAAACCGAAGAATCGAAATATTGAAAAATCACAAAACTGAAAGAAATATCAGAAAATTGAGAAATTAAAAAACTAGAAAATTCAGAAATCGAAGAACCATTAAAGCAAAGTTGAAAATCGAAAAATCGAAGAATTGAAGAATAGGAAAAACGAAACTTTGCGAAGTCGAGAATGGGAAAATCAAAATATAGATTAATTGAGAAATCGGAAAACTGGAAATTTAGCAACGTCAAAATTTGAAAAATTGGAAAATAGAAAAACTGAAAAACTGAAAAATAAAAAATCGAGGAATCGAGAAATCGAAAAATCTAAAATTTAAAACATTGAAAAATTCAAATATCGAAAAATTGTAAAATTGAGATATCCAAACATGAAAAAAATCAAAAAAATAAAAATTGTAAAATCGAGAAATTGAACAATCGGATAGTAGCAAAATCGAAACATCGAAAAATTATAAATATAGAAGAACTGTAAACTCGGGAAATCGACGAACCTAAAATTTCAAAAACTGAAAAGTTAAAATATCGAAAAGTAGAAAAATTGAGAAATCGAAGTATAAAACAGTCGAAAAATTGAAAAATCTAAAGTTTAGAAAATTGAAAATCCAAAAAATAAAAAATCGAGAAATCGAAAAATCCAGAACTCGAAAAATCGAAAAGTCGAAATAGTAAAAAATCCCCAAACTCAAATATAAAGAAATTGAAAAATCGAAAAACTGAAAAATTACGAAATTGAACGAAATGTCGAAAAATTGGGAAATTAAAAAATTGAAAAATTGAGAAATCGAAAAGTCAAAAAAGCAAAGTCGAAAAATCGAAAAATTGAAAAATCCAAAACCTGACAAATCGAAAAATTTAAGAACTGAAGAACTGAAACTTCGAGACTGGGCAGTCGAAAAATGGAAAAATCAAAAAATAGATTAATTGAGAAATCGGAAAACTGAAAATTCAGAAATGTCAAAATTTGAAAAATTAAAAAATACTGAAGAACTGAAAAATCGAAAAATCTGAATGTCTAAAATTTAAAACATTGAAAAATTAAAATATCGTAAAATTGAAAAATGCAGAAATCCAAACATCAAAAAATCAAAAAAATTAAAATTCGAAAATCTAAAATTTAAAAATCGAGAAACTGAAAAATCAACAAATCTAGAAATCAAAACTCGAAAATTTAAAAAATTGGAAAATTGAAAAATCGGAACATTGAAAAATCGAAAAACGGACAAATCGAAAAATTGAAACATTGAAAAGTTCAAAAATTGCGGCATAGAGAAATTGACAAAATTAAAAGATGGAGAAATCGAGGAATCGAAAAGTCGAGAAGGCGAAAAATCGAAAAACTGGGAATCCGAAATAGGCCAAAATTGAAAAATCCAAAATTTAAAAATTCGGAAAATTGAAAAATTAAAATATCGAAAAGTTGAAAAATTGAAAAAATAAAAACTATAAAACAGTCGAAAAATTGAAAAATCTAAAATTTAAAAAACGAAAAACTAAAAATCCAAAAAATAAGAAATCGAAAGATCAAAAAATCTAGAAGTCTAAAAACCGAAAAGCCGAAGAATCGAAACATTGAAAAATCCCAAAACTAAAAGAAATATCCAAAAATTGAGCAATTAAAAAACTAGAAAATTGAAAAATTGAAAAACCAATAAAGCAAAGTCGAAAATCGAAAAATCGAAGAATTGAAGAACAGGAAAACCGAAACTTTGCGAAGTCGAGAATTGAAAAATCAAAAACTAGATTAATTGAGAAATCAGAAAACTGGAAATTTAACAAAATCAAAATTTGAAAAATTGGAAAATAGAAATATGTACTAAAAAACTGAAAATTCAAAAAATCGAGAAATCGAGAAATCTAAAATTTAAAACATTAAACAACTAAAATATCGCAAAATTGAAAAATCGAGAAATCTAAAAAATCAAAAAATTGAAAAGCTAAAAAGTAAGAACTCGAAATCCCAGAAATCCAAAAATCGAAATATCGAAAAATTCAATAATTGAGACAAATATAGAAGAATTGAAAATCTCGAGAAATCGAAAAACCTAAAATTTTAAAAACTGAATAGTTAAAATATCGAAAAGTTGAAAAATTGAGAAATCGAAGTATAAAACAGTCAAAAAATTGAAAAATGTAAAGTTTAATAAACGGATAATTGAAAATCTAAAAAGTAAGAAGCCGAGAAATCGAAAAATTCAGAACTCAAAAAATCGAAAAGTCGAAATAGTAAAAAAAGCTCAAATATCGAAACGTTGAAAAATAAAAGAAAAATTGAAAAATCGAAAAACTGAAAAATTGCAAAATTGAATGAAATATCGAAAAATTGAAAAATCGAAAACCTGAAATATAAAAAAAGTTAAGAACTGAAGAACTGAAAGTTCGAGTCTCTGGGCAGTCGAAAAATGGAAAAATCAAAAAATATAGATTAATTGAGAAATCGGAAAACTGAAAATTCAGAAATATCAAAATTTGAAAAATTAAAGAATATTGAAGAACTGAAAAATCGAAAAATCGAAATGTCTAAAATTTAAAACATTGAAAAATTAAAAACTGCAGAAATCCAAAAATCAAACAAATAAAAGTTCGAAAATCTAAAATTTAAAAATCGAAAAACTGAAAAATCAACACATCCAGTAATCAAAACTCGAAAATTTTAAAAATTGGAAAATTGAAAAATCGGAACATTGAAAAATCGAAAAATCGACAAATCGAAAAATCGACAAATCGAAAAATCGAAACATCGAAAAAATCAAAAACTAAGACATTGAGAAATCGAGCATTCGAAAAGTCGAGAAGTCGAAAAATTCGAAAAATTGAGAAACCGTAGGCCAAAATGGAAAAATCCAAAATTTGAAAATTCGGAAAATTGAAATATTAAAATACAGAAGAACTGTAAACTTGAGAAATCGGAAAATCTAAAATTTTGAAAATTGAAAAATCGGGAAATCACTAACTATAAAACAGTCGAAAAACTAAAAAATCTAGAAGTCTAAAAACCGAAAAGCCGAAAAATCAATATATTGAAAAATCCCAAAACTGAAAGAAATATCCAAAAATTGAGAAATTAAAAAACTAGAAAATCGAGAAATCGAAAAACCATTAAAGCAAAGTCGAAAAATCGATGAATTGAAGAACAGAAAAAACGAAACTTTGCGAAGTCGAGAATGGGAAAATCATAAAATTAAGATTAATTGAGAAATCGGAAAACTGGAAATTTAGCAACGTCAAAATTTGAAAAATTGGAAAATAGAAATACCTACTGAAAAACTGAAAATTCAAAAAATCAAGAAATCGAAAAATCTAAAATTTAAAACATTGAACAACTAAAATATCGCAAAATTGAAAAATCGAGAAATCAAAAAATTAAAAATCGAAAAATTGGAATGTCGAAAAATTAATAAGCTAAAAAGTAAAAAATCGAAATCCGAGAAATCCAAAAATCGAAACATCAAAAAAATTCAATAACTGAGACATCTCGAAGTAGAACGCCGAAAGGAAAAGCTAAAAACTTTGAAACATCTGAATTCGATAAATCCAGAAATTGCAAAATCGAAAAATTAAAAAAAAGGAAAACCGAAAATTTAAAAATTCGGAAACTCGAACAATTGAAATATAGAAGAACTGATGACCTGACCTGACCTGACCTGACCTGACCATTTTTAGAATCTTTAGACAACATTTTTAAAAGTGAAATTTTTTTCAATGATCTCCCTTTCTTCAAATTTCGGCCAATCATGGGCATTTTCGAAACTTAACTAAAAACATTTTCTTGTAGATTTCGAGCTCTAGAAATCGTCGACTACTTTTTTATAAAATTAATTCTTGAAAACGCTAGATTTTTAACTCACTGTACTGTAAATTTGGCTTTTTGTAGTCACGATGTTCTTGAAATCAAGTGTCGAAATGACGAAATGTTTTATGCGTAATTCTTTATTCTTTATGCGCGCACTTGTTTTTTTACACATGTTTTTTTTCCAAAAATCTGTACGTTTTGGCTAAAAACTCAACACGGAATCATAAACTACATGTGTAGGACTATATTATTTTATATAATTTAAAACCCATTTACTAGGTACTATTTTGAAGTGACGTCATCACATTATTGGTAGAGATGATTAGATAAATTTTAGTTAGCGTTTTACCATCTATGATATTCCTAATATAAATACAAAATTTGACAACAATCGGCCCAGTACTTTCGGAGATTATTTGTCTAATAAAAATTCGTGATGACAGACAGACAGACAGACATGAAAAAGTGAGATTTTTGAAAAGTTGGTTAAAAATCCTCAAAAAATTCTTGGATCTAGACCTCGTCTAGCTAGCCCTTTTAGAATCCTGTTAAATTTTGCAGACATCTTTATTTATTCCGTATTTTTCATTTCGTTTCGTTGGTACCACTGCCGCCCAAAATCCTTGGCACTCTTCCCGAATTACAGAAACCTTCTCCGGCCGCCACCTCCTGGCGCCGTCCGTGTTCTTGGCGGGCGTCCCGACGCCAGTCCCGTAAACACTCGAGCGTCCGTTGACGTCACGGCGACGCGCTTGCTTGATTCCGCCGCTCCAAGCATTGATTATTGCCCACTGTGTGTGTGCGACATACATCAAGGCAGACATGCAGTCGAGCGGTCACAGATACTACTATTTATTTATGTCCGTGTAGTGTGTAAATGTGTAGAAAATTACCTTCAAATTGTTACGTCAACCGCAAAATAATTCGCTTATCAAAAACTCCTCCACTTTCGCAAATCCTCGTCCACCGACTCGCAAAATTTAGCCAAAGAACGGCCAACTCCAACTCAAAAAAATCCAACAAGTTCAAAGCCGACGCAAGATTGCGGCCCGAGTCTGATGTGAGCCACCGCCGAAATGACGAGGTCCGGGCGCTTTTCAAAAGTCGGCGGTTTTTTCGGGTGAACGCGACGAATATGGCACCAGATATGTGGCAAACGGCTCAAATCGCGGTAATTTTGATAAATGGTGGAGGCGTCGATCTGGTTTACTATGAGAAGGGTGTGAATTGAAAAGGAAGTCGTCATGGGGAATTCTTGCAGCAGCGGACAGGCTCACAAGGATAAGGACAATATGTCCCAAAGGTCCGAAGAGTAAGTAACGCTTTATTTTTCCCGGATTTCCTCCAACTAGCTAGCCGAATTCACACTCGCATCTCTGCGAACTATCGGAGTCCAACTTGACAATAATGAACTGAAACAATTACGAATGATTAAAATTTGTTTGTCCGCCGCGTTCCGAGACATAAATTGGGATTATAATTTCGAAGACGTCGCGTTATGGCGAGGATGGTTTCAAGGTCAGGTTTAGCTTTGTTTTTCACTTTTAATCAGGTGGAAAAAACGCGATAACGACGTAAAAGCTGACGAACCTTGCTTGCATTTTCCGTGTTCGAGGAAAAGCGATACGTTTTTGTTTTACGAGTCAGTGGTCACGATAAGGTGTCGGGAAAATCCTTGCTGGGAAATTTTCCAGTTGTGGCTTCGCATATTAAGGTTGTGGGAAAACGAAAACTATTTTTCGTTGTAAATGTGGCCACTGTTCTTAATTATTTGCATGTATTTTAAGTTGTATTATATTGCATTATTTTGGTTCCAAAAATTTTGGTTAATCGTCGCTTTATCACCAAAAATGACGTCTCTTTTCCACAGTTGGCATTACTGATTGCTTGTGTAGTTTTTTCAAGATCCATACACACAGTCCCATTGTTCTTGACTGCACCTTATTTTTAAGTTAAAGATTTTTAGCTGTTAAAGAACATTAAAAATAAAATCTTCAAATTCTCTAAATGTGGAACTACTTTGTTCTAAAACTGGAAATTTAAGGGGAAATGCTAGGAATTAAAACACTGTGAGTTCTTTGTATCCAATATGTGGAAAGCTCTCGTCCTATGACCTTTAAGTCTCGCTTTAGTCTTAACATACAGCGTTGCCCATATGCTAAAACCTTTACACAAGAGTGCTATTTCTTAATTAAAAATTTTTAACTCGTAAAATTAAAAAAAGTTCTATAACTTTTTTTTGCCCTTTAATCACTTAGTTTTGGGAACGTATTTTTAGAACAATGAGTAGTAGAGTGTAGAGTAGAGTAAGACATAATTTTTTCTTTAAACGCCTTCATAATTTATTCCTTAATGGTTTAGTTCATTTTAAATTCGCTGTTAAATCATTTGAATCGTGGCGTTCGATTTATTGGCATTGACCTTTGTAAGGTTTATCGGATTAATCAGAAAAATGAAAAATATATTCACAGCCTAGCTTGCGTGAAAACATTTTAATCACCCTTGAGTTAATCGATAATTAATAATCCATTAGTTAAAGTTGACAAATGACGAAAAAGATAGATCTTAAAATTGGTTTATATGTGATTTAAGAATCGTGTAAATGGTAAAACGCTAATTTGTTTAATCATCCCTAGCAACAATTCGATGACATCCCCTAGTAAATAATATACTTATGTAGTCGTGGTTTATGAATCCGCCTTGATTTCTATTACAAAATTTTTGCGAAGGACTACATGTACTCGCTCATGTATCAAATGCCTTGTGGCTTACTTGATTAAGTAGGTTCGAATCCGATCCTTATGAATATTTTTTTACATTTTGACAGGTATTATCCATATTTTTAATTTATAGAGATAATTACAAAATAAATAAAATTTGTAAAATCAAATTTTCCCAAATAGGTACAAACGGTGTCCCAGTTAAAACTCCACGGCCTTATATCTTGTGAACGGATATTGACATTAATTCCGTAAACGCCATGTTTTTAATTTGGTTGGCAAACAATTTCATATATGCAAAAATTCCTAGTAAAAAATAATTTTTAAGTTGGTTTTAATGTGAGGTTAGAAATTCTGACAAAAACTGCTAGGCATTTCACTTTGTATTTTCCATTCCAATAAGTCACTATAATCAAATTTAAAATTTATATTTGAATAAGTAATAATTAAGTTTTAACACACTTTTATATTGGCAATTCTGAATTATTGACATCCATGCTAGTACGTTATGTCACAGCTGTCATAAATGTCACTTTGACAATCAGGTATGCCATCATAAAATTTGAAAAGGGTTGCCAACCTGACAACAAAAATCACGAACTGTAATAGTCATCCGGTATTTGGGACAGAAATTTAATTCCTCAAGAATATTTAGAACTTTTAGACACTTTCAACTGCGGAAATTTTGGACCTTTTACTAGAAATTTTATAAAATTTTGAATTTTTAGAGTTTCTAGGATTGTTACAATTTTTATGATTTTGTTGGATCTTTCTTTTATTTAAAACCTTAGAACTACAGTTTATTTAAAATCTTTAGTGTATTTACAATCTGCAATTCTAATGTATGGAATCTTTGAGGTCTTTGAATGTCTCGAGTCTTTAGAATCTTTGAAAGCTGTGAGAGGAAGGAATTTTCGTAATCTTTAGAACCTCTTCACACTTAAGATTGGTAAACTTTCGAAATTTTGAAAATTTGTATTTTTTTTTTATTTTTTCAGAATTTCGGAAAACACAAAATGTCCACAATTTCCAGATTTTCCAAAATTTCTAAAATTATCGGATTCCAGTTATGCCAGACTTTTGAAATTCAACCTTTTCCAAAATTTTCAAGATTTCTAGCTCTACTACATTTTTCACACTTTCTAAATTTTTCCAGGTTTTCTAACATTTTAAATAGGTTGCCAACCTAACAACAAAAATCACGACCTGTAATAGTCACCCGGTATTTGGGACAGAAATTTAATTCCTCAAGAATATTTAGAACTTTTAGACACTTTCAACTGCGGAAATTTTGGACCTTTTACTAGAAATTTTATAAAATTTTGAATTTCTAGGATTTTTACAATTTTTATGATTTTGTTGGATATTTCTTATATTTAAAACCTTAGAACTTCAGTTTATTTAAAGTCTTTAGTGTATTGACAATCTGCAATTCTAGTGTATGGAATCTTTGAAGTCTTTGAATGTCTCGAGTCTTTAGAATCTTTGAAAGCTTTGAGAGGAAGGAATTCTCGTAATCTTTAGAACCTCTTCAAACTGAAGATTAGTGAACTTTCGAAATTTTGAATTTTTTTATTTTCTCAGAATTTCGGAAAAAAAATGTCCAGAATTTCCAGATTTTCCAAAATTTCTAAAATTATCGGACGCCAGTTATGCTGGACTTTTGAAATTCAACCTTTTCCAAAATTTTCATGATTTCTAGCTCTACTACATTTTTCACACTTTCTAAATTTTTCCAGGTTTTCCAAAATTTTAAATAGGTTGCCAACCTGACAACAAAAATCACGAACTGTAATAGTCACTCGGTATTTGGGACAGAAATTTAATTCCTTAAGAATATTTAGAATCTTTTGACACTTTCAATCTTCGGAAATTTTGGACCTTTTACTAGAAATTTTATAAAATTTTGAATTTCTAGAATTTCTAGGATTTTTACAATTTTTATGATTTTGTTGGATCTTTCTTCTATTTAAAACCTTAGAACTTCAGTTTATTTAAAGTCTTTAGTGTATTGACAATCTGCAATTCTAGTGTATGGAATCTTTGAGGTCTTTGAATGTCTCGAGTCTTTAGAATCTTTGAAAGCTTTGAGAGGAAGGAATTTTCGTAATCTTTAGAACCTCTTCAAACTGAAGATTAGTGAACTTTCGAAATTTTGAATTTTTTTATTTTCTCAGAATTTCGAAAAAAAAAATGTCCAGAATTTCCAGACTTTCCAAAATTTCTAAAATTATCGGACGCCAGTTATGCTAGACTTTTGAAATTCAACCTTTTCCAAAATTTTCATGATTTCTAGCTCTACTACATTTTTCCCACTTTCTAAATTTTTCCAGGTTTTCCAAAATTTTAAATAGATTGCCAATCTGACAACAAAAATCGCCAACTGTAATAGTCACCCGGTATTTGAGACAGAAATTTAATTCCTTAAGAATATTTAGAATCTTTTGACACTTTCAATCTTCGGAAATTTTGGACCTTTGACTAGAAATTTTATAAAATTTTGAATTTCTAGAATTTCTAGGATTTTTACAATTTTTATGATTTTGTTGGATCTTTCTTTTATTTAAAACCTTAGAACTTCAGTTTATTTAAAATCTTTAGTGTATTTACAATATGCAATTCTAGTGTATGGAATCTTTGTGATCTTTGAATGTCTCGAGTCTTTAGAATCTTTGAAAGCTTTGAGAGGAAGGAATTTTCGTCATCTTTAGAACCTCTTCAAACTGAAGATTAGTAAACTTTCGAAATTTGGAAAGTTTATATTTTTTATTTTCTCAGAATTTCGGAAAACACAAAATGTCCAGTATTTCCAGATTTTCCAAAATTTTTAAATAAATAATAAATAAATAAAGTTTATTGCCCAACAGAACTACACATTCCAGTTACAGGACAATTATAAAGAATATAAAAACAATGACAACAATTCAGAATCAAAGAAAATAACAAATTAATAAATTAAATGCATAAATAATCAAAGATCTCAATATATTGAAACATAAGAACAGTAACTTAACTTAAATAAAATTAAAATAGAAATAAATGAATGAATGAATAAATTAAAGCCGAAATAAATACCTACATTTATCTGCAATATCAAAAATCAAACACACAATCTGTAAATCTAGGCATATAGGTACATCAAGAAGTAAATAACTTAAATTAAAATACAACAGTATGAAAACCATATCTGAAAGTAAAGTGTAAACTACTTAAGCTTAATTCTAACAGTGTCTTTTATAGACTTAATGCTAGTGTTAAAAATGTCAAAATCGGAATTCATTTCTATTTCTTTTAAAAAATAACTTATTACATATATCGGTGCTTTTCTCCCAAAATTAGTTCTAGCAATGCTAGTGTATAATGTTACAGAATGCCTGCTGCTAGTTCTAGGTACCAGAAAGGATAAAGAATTAGTTAAGGCCCTGCAATCAATTTGATTATTTAATAATTTATATAAAAAGACGATAACGCCAGTAACACGTCTACAAAATAATGAACTCATATCAAATTTTTCTAGTAGAGCTGTTTGCGGATAATTTCTCGTTGGCCATGTTTTCTGTTCCTTAAAATAGAGGTACTTTAAAAATCTGCG